CCACCCGGGTCGCCTAAAGGCGACCGAGATGGCGGTGGTGGAAATCAAAGCTCGGGCTCGACGACAGTATCAGCGACCTCATCGCCGGGTCTTGACGAAGAACCCGAACAATCACGTATCACAATTAATCCGGCAGTCGAAATGTCGCCACGAAAAAAACCGCGTAAACAACAGCTCACAGGAGTCGAACTCACCGAGTCGAGGTGCACCGAAGAGGAAATGCAATTTATTACCGAAGAGAAAATTAAGAAAGACATTAAAGAGGAGTCGAAAGATAAATACAGCGAAAGAAAGCTCAACTCAAATCTTCAGCAAGACTTGAAACCTCCACAAACGACACCCGTTAGATCCAGACCGACGCCGAGTTTATTAGGTAATATAATATGAATTTCAATGTTATTAATAAGAATTACAAATAGGCGCAACGAAAAAGCATATATTTCACAATTTATTCGGCAATATTGAAAAATTAGTTTTGCATAAACATACGATGCAAAACACATCTATAATATAATTTTTTTTTTTTATTTTAAATATTCACATTTACAACTAATTCGGCAATGGTTATATCGTTTGAGAAAACCTAATTTTTATGTTAAAGATCACATTCGTGTAATATTAGAGAGATAATAATTGAACGATCAATTAATATCATTGTTTTTCTGACATTAGGCACTTCTTGGAAGAATCGTTGGGGTGGAAGATTACATCATTACAGACGCCCGAGTGATGTAAAACCCCGAGAAGAAAGAAGACCAACTGTTAATGAAATTGCGCAACAAAAACATGTGCTGCAAAAAGTTAATGGCTGGAAAGTTTATCATCTTACGTCGCAAATGGAAGATCTTGCTGAACTTGAAAAATCTGTATGTATATGTAACTATGATTATAAATAAGTATTTAAAGAACATAAATTTGAAGAAAACATATATTTCATTTAAAGGTTCATGAAAAATTGAAGGCTACTTTGACAATGTTGGAGTCCCAACAAACTAAAGGCAGGCAGGACGACAGCTTAGAGAGAGCAAATGAACTGATAAAGGGAAATATGCAGCGTAGTAGTTTAATAAGTGAAGGCATGAATGAAGCACGTGTACAACTCACTGCAATATTTCAACATAAAAACCACGTTTCAGACTTATTGCAGCGATGTGGTAATAAGCGAGCACAAAAAAAGAGATAAGTGAATTTTCTCAAGTGGAAGATCAAAATATATTTAATGAAAGACTATAAATACACGTGCGAATTTTGAGAATACGTTATTTTTATTAAAAATTATATTATTAAAATAAAGAAAAAAATTTTTTTCAAATTTAAATAATACTAAAAAACATTTGTACATACTTTCTCATCCAATCCCAGTAATGCACAAACGATTGATAATAAATACGCATATTTCGTATAATTATTATATAAAATTATAGAAGTTTAAGAATATTATAAGAACAAAACAGTATATTTGTTTTTAATCAATTTATTTTTACTATTGGCATATAAGAATATTTTTTTAATTTATATTCCATTAAGTAAAGTTAAATAATTTATCAAATCAGACTATTGAGTATGAGGTGGGCTTTCACTAGTCATTTGATCACCTTACGTCGCTAATGACAAATTCAACAAAAATAATTACATGTGTTTCATTGCAAAAAAAACAACATATATATATATATATATATATATATATATATATATAAGTAACCTTCTCGCATAATGTAAAAGATTTATTAGGTATAATTTTTTTTAATTATTAATTAAATTTACAATGTATTCTATAACAACAATTATATATTTGTACAAAGCTAAATTCGTGCTCTATATCATTTAATACATTTTAATTCCATAAATTAAACTAATTTTTTTAAAATCTTAAATGGTACATTAAATGCTTAAAATGTAAAACTATTTACTAATCAATTTATACCAAGCATTTTACATATATATATATATATATATATATAAGTTTTCTTCTGCCCAAAAAATAAGTTTTGTATTTAATGTGCTTAATTAAGGCTTTAGTTTGACATATTCATACACTCGCAAACTTGTAAAATTATGTGTCAGCATATTTTTATAAGCAATATTTATAATAAATCAAATATATATATATATATATATATATATATATATATATATATATTGATATTGCCCTCTGTAATGAGAAGCTGGACGTTTCTTTCTGATTTAAGGCTTTTATTTTGTACGTGCATTAATTTTAAATATGATTATAAGTATTGTTAATATACCTGAAAGCCTTTGCGTACCTTTTTTTTTAACAAAATTGACTTGTTTATAGTAATACATGATGAAAATCTAGTGTAGCATTTATTACTTACATAGCATCGATTAGAATTAACAATTCACATTCTTGCAAAATAATTTTCTTAATATCATACGATTACGTAAAAAGTTATTTTATAATTTGAACATAATAATGTAAATAAATTAAAATATCACAAATATTTTTATTTTTATATTGCTTCAAATAGTGTTACATTTATGTATTTTTCTATAATTTTGTAAATTCAATTTATTAAAATATCTGTTTCAATATATGTATTTGAAAATTGTGCATCTTTATAATGCGCAGAACACAGAGTTACATATTTTATATGAAAATTCATATGTTTTGAGTCATAATTTTAAAAAAGTCACGTAAATTAAGCATCGAAGGAATTTATAATTTATAAACGTGGTCATAAAAATAACTAATAAAAATTTAATAAAAATATAAAAATCAAGAAATTCTTAATAATATGAATATTTTGTTTAAATTTTACTTTTCCAGTAAATTTTAGTAAGTAATGTAAGTAAATTAATAAATACCTATCAATTGACTAATATATATAAACGAAAAAACGCATCGATCTAAGTTAAATATATTTTTACAAATTTATTAATTTAAAATCTTTTATGTAACATTTAATATATCGTTTTTCTAGTATAACAATAACATTAATATTTATAATACTATATATAATATTATAATAATAATATTAATACATGAGATGAAAAGCCGAAGACTTAAAGTTTTATCTTATTCTTTAATACAATTGTTCTTAAAACAGTATTAAAATAAATTTCGGTGATTTGAATATTTAATTATTTAAATTAAATTAATTTTATATAGTAAAATTAATTGAGAATATCGTAATATGTATTTGTTTCAAATTCAATATTATTATTTCACGTAAACTATTTTCCTTGTGATCACATTTTTTCACATCACATTAAATAAATATATACTAGTTTTCAAGAAATCGTATAACAATTTATTTTAAGTTTTCATTTTTTGATTTCGTATGTTAATCAATCAAAGAATGCCATTCAATACTCTTCTATAACTAACTGTTTTTCTTCTCTTAAAGTAGCCAATAAATACTATTTCACTTGAATTATTGAAATAACGGCCAAGATTTGTATATAAATGTTTATGTAAAAATGACTCCTTACGCAGTGTATTAATATCTTTATAATGCCAGTTATATATTTTTTTATTTTACAATTATTTAAAATAATATAATTGAATTTTGCCATGATTTATATCAGACCTACGAATATCTGCATTTTTATCTATTAAATTTGAAATGGTTGTTTTCAATGCCGTTTATATGCTATAGAATATAATAGCAAGTACAATGACTTTTGACCTCATGTAGTACATTCTTTTAAAAGTTTTACAGACAATTTGATTTTTTCGATGAAATAAGGAACTATAGATCGAAGTTAAAAGCATTTTAATATGTATAATGCCATAGGATGCTATTTGCTATAAAAGACTGTTTTAAGTAAACGGATATTGACTTATTTCGAGTATCAACAAAATTAAAGTAAAACTCTCTTTGGTCCCTGAACCCGAAATTTGTACGTATATTTAGCACCCGACATTTGTCTAATGTAAATTTTTACTAGGAGTTTATTATAATGTAGGTGAATATTGCCCAAGAATTTAGTATTTCGTTAATATAATGAAACAAGCGTGTTCTGAATTTTGGATTAAAAACTTTTAAAACGTCGTTAAAAATATTAATATAAAAAGTATGGTCATTTTCCAAATTTATTTTGAAGTAATTCTTATATATATTTTTCGTAATAATAAATAATTTATTTAAAATATTTGATAATTATTTTTCTTATAAAATGTGTAGATTTAATTAAATTTATTTTATATATAATGTAAAATTGAATATAAAATTATACTTTTGACTAATAGATTTAATACGAAGAATTATTTTTTTCTGAATAAAAAATATTAAATATACAATGTAAAATCATTTAGAAAAACTTATAACAAGATCAATTACAATTTATTTCTATCAACTCTTTTGACTGTTTTCATTGTATAAATCTTTTGCAAAATCCTAAGCAGAAACTATAACAATTTTCACCTATGCGTGTAACTCCATTTGTTAGTCCAGATTAAAATTAAACAAATATTTTGGAAAAGGATTAGATCGTTGTCTATATTTATATATTTATTTTTAAAAAATATTATGCACTTCCTATTACTGACAGCTTATAGCATATTTAATTATTCACAGTACTTATATTTATTAAATCTGTCCTTATGCTCTTTTAATGATTTAAAAAATATTTTTTACTTTTTATTTTATATTAATATATTTTATTATTGTTAGTGAATAAAATTTCAACACCCTTTAAAACAAATTAAACAAATTAAAAATTTATTTTATAATGTTATTAAATAGATTTTATTTTCAAATATATTGAGAAGTTTTTTTATAACTAAAATATCTCAATATTATATATATATATATATATTTATAATATATATATAATATATTATATATATATATATATATATATATTATATATATTATAAATATTTAATAAATATAATTATTAAGATTTAAAAATATCTTTGAAGTAAATTAAGTTTTATAAAAAAATATTTTTCATTTCTTATACACATTTTTTATATACATTTGAAACTGTATTATTATTTGTAAAAATTATTACTAAATTAAAATTGAATAAAACAACGCAACTATTCCTAATCCATGTTTTTCAATACTTAAATTAAATTAAGATTTGATACAATTTACAATTGATTTTTAAAAAATTACTATAAATAGAAGGTTCAGGGAAAATTTGTTTCCTGTGTATATATTAAAATAGATTGAATTTCACGTGCAATTAATATTTTAAAAATAGAGGCAAAGTTATTAGATAATAATATGCGTTAATGTAATAATAATTAAAAATTTCATAATTTTTTATATACGTATTGTATAATTACTTATTAACCAGCACTTAATGATTGATTAGAAATATAGTTATAACAATGTATTTTACATAATATAAATTATAATATTTAAAAATCAATTTATAGAGGAACAATAACAATTTTCTGTACTTTTCAAGATTAAGTCTAGCAATTGCTAATATATAATTAGCTTAATATTTGTAAAATTTGTTTCAAAATTTTTTTTTGTGTGATTATGAATAAAAGTAATAATTCACATAGCTAAACTAAGTTTTTTAAAAATTTTTTACACGATATCAGTACGTCTATTTGATTTAATAAAATGTTTAATGTCTACATTCTATAGTCACAGTCTTTATAGGCTTTCAGGATTTATTCAGATAAGTCATAGAATTCTTATATTAGCTTATCGAAAAATATAGTGTTGAAAATTTTAACGATGCTATGATATATCGTCATTAATACTAGAAAATTTGTAAAAACTTGACCGCAAAAGTACCATTGAAAAAAATATTTATTCTCCCATACCTAAGAACGCTTCTGGGCCCATTTCATATCATCATCTCTAGGCTTATAGCCTGTTATTCTCTCAATAATATATTCCAAAATATACCAAAAACGCAGTTTTTCAAGAGGCCAATTCAACCATCCAGTAGTAATGCAAAAATACGTTTCATGAGGGGCAACGTGATGAACTCGATGATGACGTCTAGGTAAAATTATATGATATTCTTGTAACCAGATTACGTATGAAGGTAGTCCAAAGTACGTATGAGACCATTTGTGAATCTATAAAAACAAATTGAAACAAAAAACCATAAATAATGCGATATTTAATAATACTTATTTACATAGTTGTTTATTTTTAAAATAAAATTCGATTTAACACAAGCTCCTATATGAATTGAGAAAATTTTAAGAAATTTTATAATAATTATCTATATAATAAATAATAATTATTAATATCATGATTTCTATTTGTATTTTATACTATAAGATTATACACTATTTTATTATGTAAAATGAAAATAGCTTGAAATAAATGTAATAATTAGCTATTACAAGATGTTACTTTACTCTATAATATTCTATGAAAATAAAAAAATGTATTGATTTTCAAATAATTCAAGTAATTTCTTTGTAACTGAAAACTTACTAATGTATCTATTAATAAATTCAATAAATTAAATATTAAATAAATCTATTAAAAAAATTTTATAAAAAGATTGTTGTAAAAAAGCAATTTTAGTTTTAATAAAAATAAATTAATTGCAAATTACGTTTATTAAATATTTAAATATTCTGATATTTGTAATTTTATTATCTATTGTCTGAATGCTTACTTGATTAGTCAGCGCTACAAAAATTGTAAGTTGATACCAAAAGCAAATCCAAAAAAATTTTTTTTGAATTTCAAATTCTGACAAACAGAAAAAGTCCCATGATAATTTACATAAAACTGGTATGGTTACTGCAAATGTATCACCATTCGTTTCAATAAAATCATGTCGTGTAATACTTGTTGGATCTATATGATGTTCTCGAAATGGTCTAAGAAAATTCTAAAATTAAATACAAAATTAATAATTTTTTCAATAATTTAATTTGTGCAATATAAATAAAAATTTAGATAAATATAAATAAATTTAATCATTTTCTCTCTCAGTTTTTATCATTTTTTTAATTTTAATTAATTCAACGTAAGATAATGTCGTCGAATAAAGCAGTAATGACATTTCATATTTTCATATAAAGCCTTAACTTCATAAAAAATAAATAAAATTAATGAAATTTGAATTTAAAATTAAATATAAGAAGTGATTTCCATATATGTTATTTAAACAGGCTTTTCATTACAATAAATTTGATAAATTACTTTTCCTATAATTGGTATTTCAATAGATCCCCATGTATCTGCTGCCCAATGAGCAAAGCCAGAAATAAAATCAGCTGTAATAATTCCACAAAAAGCTGCAAGCACTATGGAACTCAGATTTTCCAACTTTATTCGGACAAGTATAAATAATATATTAAGAGACATAAGAATGATGCAAACAGAGAAACAAATTACTTCTTGTATTCTTTTTCCTGTTAAAAATATCACGATTATTACAATTTATATAAAATTGAAGTTCACCTCAATAATCAAATTAAAACATTTTACCTCCACTATACAGATTTGCTAATTCTTGAGCACCTTTATGATTAGGACCCCATCTAGGTTTGACTCTGTCCTCCGATGAGTTTGGTACAACTGAATTAGCATTAGGATCATCTTCTAACATAGAATTTTCATAAATTTGACGTTCCGTTTTTACAGGAGCCAAAAAACTTGTAGCCATCGTACAAGCTGCAGACGCAGCTTGACCTAAGTGTGGCATAGCCGATGCTTCCATATTAATAGAAATGTTTATACTTACAGTCTTAAAAATGTTAAAGCAAATTAACAAATTTCAGTTGTATATTTAAATTGATTTATGATTGAAAAAAAAAAATATAATATAATGGTTTCTTAAGGATGCTCTCTTAAATGGTTTTTAAATTGTAAAAATAATCAACCATCCATGTTCCCTACATTTAAACAAAAATGAATGCGCTTCCAGCGCATCTTTATAGATACTAAACTTGAATATTAATTTCAAATATTGCTTTTATCTGACTTGGATCTGTTGCAAGGGTGACAACAGTTGGACTGGATCGTCCAATTGATATTATTAGAAGAGTAGAGCATATTCTGTATATGGAATTTAGAGCCTTCATCCTGTGCTTAATAAGATCAGCCCAAAGAATTTGCTTTTAGCATTTAAATTTTATTTAATGTCCATTAAATGTTGTCCTTTAAATGAACTCAAGTTAATTCTCTGAATGACACTTTCAGTGAAGCATTGACAGTTGTATTATCTATAATTAAAAATTATATTTATTAAAATTTACTTGATTAGCAGTAAGTTCTCGAAAATAAGTTAAATAATAATTAATGAAAAATACATAAATTAGGTTTTATGAAAAACAAATGTATATTATAGAAGATGCAGATTATTTAAATGGATACTAATAATAAATGGATCATAAATAAAATAAAAAATATCAAAAATATATACAGTTAACAAAAAAATAAAAAAAAAAATAATAATAATAATAAAAATTTTATACAGTTTATACAAAAGACTATATTGATATATCTTAAAAATTTATTCAAAACAATGTCTACATTTGATACATTTATATATACGTTTTCCACAAACGTTTGAATATAAAATGTAATGTATAATTTATAATAATTAATCATTTTTTACCTAAACACTGTAGCAGGAATCTATGGGCTAATAAATTAATTCTATCTGAAATCTTAACCACTTAAAATTGTAAGTCACGCCGTTTCTTTCGAGCTTGTGCAATTCCACGTGATAGGCAATTTTTCAAGATTTATGTTATTAAAATTAATTTTATCTCATATCCTGCTTAAATTCCATAAGATACAAGGAGACACGCAATAATACGCATGGACCATAATAAATTTTCCGGTTGACAAGACTAAGGAAAAGCACTTCATCTCTTGTTTTATCTTTTCTTATCTTGTTTTAATCCAATTTATCGGTAGTGATAATGACCGGCTCTCTTCAAACGCACTTGTTTGGAGCTTTCGATTAATAAAATAGCAATTAAACATATGACAGTGACGAGTGATAGAAGGATAGAGAGAGAGAGAGAGAGAGAGAGAGAGAGAGAGAGAGAGAGAGAGAGAGAGAGTGCACGAGAGAAAAAAATAGGGAAAACGAAGACTGAACAATGAGAATGAGATAAGATACCCGCCCACAGCTTTTGTTTAAACTATCGTAGATAAGACATTTTATTAGATAATTTAAAAAAATCAAGATAGACAAAGGGAGGATGAACGGCGAAATATTAATTTCGTGCACGTAGACGAACGATAAACCGTCATTGTTTTGTTGTTTCTTGCCGCTGTATTTAGCATAACAACGCAACGTAAGCATACGCACATGGACGCGCGATTTAATTGTCACGTAATTTACACGAATAGCAGACGATTTAGAGTAACCGTGCGAGAGCGACATAAATAGGGAATTGCAACAGAAAATGTGGCAGCGAGAAAAGAGCGAGAATTTTTATTAAGAATATTACGATACAATTAATGAATGCATAGAGAACTGCAACGGAATTAAAAGGTTTAGAAACATAGGACGAAAGGGTCGCAAAATAAGAAAGCAAAAAAGAGCGAGCGAGAGAGAGAGAGAGAGAGAGAGAGAGAGAGTAAGTGAGGGAGTGAGGGAGAGGGGAGGGTGTGAGGAGCACAGATCGGGAAGCGGAGGCACACAAAAGTGCATGCGAGAGGAATGACGACCAAGAGTTACGGAGTGACAGAATTCGAGATAAAAATAAATATGACAGAGAAAAGAATTGAAAATTACCAGAGACCTTCGTACGGCCGAGAGGCCTCTATTAAGACAGCGTGCAACCGAGGCAAACGGAGCTTTAAGTCAAATCGATGATTTACGTTAAAAATGTATTGTATAGGCTGGTATAGACGCAAAGTTCGTAGTGACAGGGATAATGGGGCACGTAGTCAAGTCGTCGTTGTACATCGCGAAAGGGAAAAAGAGGAGTGCCGGTACAAGAGACGAACTCACGGACGAAGCAAATGCGCTGCAGCAAGCAAGTACGGGCCAAATGGAGGTGTGGCAGAAGCTGCAAGCCGCGTCCGGGATAGTCGACGAGTAGACTCAGTAGTCGTGTTGTCCTGCCTGCGCGTAACAGCCACCCGAGCCCCAGGATATGAACACACAAACACCGAGAGAGATAGAGATAGAGAGAGAGAGAGAGAGAGAGAGAGAGAGAGAGGGATGGGATTGGCGGGGAGGGGGAGGCAGAGGGAGAGGCGCACGCGTACAGCGGGGCCAGCGAGAGAGGCTCTACACCAACGTAACGCACCTTTTACCAAGTCCGAGTTCTAAATTCGACGCGGGACAATATCGTCGCGTTGCGCTGACGGCGCCGAGGTGCGGCGCCTACGCGATGCGCCACCAACTGCCGTTTAAAGCAAAAGGTACGTCGCGCGAAGCCCAGCCAGAGAAACCGAAAAGCCCCGCGCCCTCCCCACACCTGGCCCCCGCCGCGGATCCTCCGAGCGCACGTGCCACCGGCTCGTGGATCGGTAGTCCTCGCGCTCTCCCACCCTACACCTGCACCATAACCCCGCACGCCCCCCTTCCCACCGCCACAACCACCACCACCACTACCACCGTCATTAACCTCCAGTAGCAGCACGTCCGGGCCACCTCCTGGACATGCCTATTTATCTACGCGACAAAATTGTTAAATTCGCACCTGCGTGCGACTCGCGTCGTCAATTTCTCATTCAACGTCGTTCAACAAGTAACGATACGAGGGAGCGTCGTCGTGCGCCGGCAGTGCATGTCTTTCGATGCCCTTTTTGCCTTTCTTGGGGAACGTTGCCATATTTATGTTTGAGAAATCGCTCGACGCAAATTCGCGGAAACCACCTTATGACGAGCACAACACATGCATATTCAATAATATCCGTACACTATGGAATATTTACTATCCAAGACATGCGATGGCCATTACAATTAGAATTTTGTCATTTAAATTCACGTATTTATCTATTGGCCTCGAAATCATCAATTACCAATATTTTATAAAAAAAAAAAAAAAAAAAAAAAAAAACGGGGTCTCACTCGAAAATTTATAGACCACTTAATCTCGATTACTTTATTGTATTTTTCATTATTCAATTCATGTCTCGTATGAAAGCGATGCACTTATGTACGTTATATTCTAGGGCAATAACGGCTTATAATTGTGTGTGCTTCAAATAAAGCATTAGCGCACGTCTTAAAAATATTCAACAAATTCGTACTTCAAAATTAATTTTTTTTCAAAATGCTTAGCAATAAAATGTATGAATGTGATATTGTTTAATGCGTTCTCGCCATACACATATGACGGTTATGGAAAATTATTGACTCAAACAGTTAGGTCACATTACTTATCATGATATCATTAGTCAAACAATTAAATTATTTATTTTTATCCATTATATTGCGCGCGCGTACACACACATATAAAATTTAATTATATGTGTTAATATAAAAATACTTAAGAATTATTACAAAGTATGTATAATTATTATAGTGCAATAATCAATAATATGTAAATTAAAATACACAGACATATATTTGAATTTTTATTTAATAATTATGATTTAAAAATTCTACATGCATACATATATATAACTAATATGTAAACAAATTAGAAGATAATTTGTAATTAACTTATAAATCATAAATATATACACATATATAAAATAATATAAATCTTTTACTCATTAAAAATTTTCCTACACATTCAATTACCTTTCTATAAAGTATCTGTATAATTAATTTCTAAATTTTAAAAATTAACATAAAAAATATTAATTATTAAATAATGCACATGCTGTTTGTGTATATTTAAAATAATGATAAATTCTCATCTTGTCAACAAAATAAAAGGTTTCTAAAGTAAGAATGCAAATGAAATTACAATTATTATAATTAATATGAAAATTTTGATACCGAAAATGACAGTAATTATATTTTTTTATTACTTTTGAAATAAACTTAAACACAAGATAATATATTGAATACTTATATATTTTTTGTTTTCATCGCATACATTTAAGATACTAAAGCTCAATTATGCATATACACGTTCTCTCATCCGTAATTAATTATATTTGCTTCATCAAAACAGTCGATAGTCATTTGTTTTAATTATATTATTATTATTATTATTATTATTATTATTATTATTATTATTATTATTATTATATCATATTATATTATATACTATAACGAATTATACAATAATTATTTATCAATTTATTAGACAATATACGATCTATTTATATTTTATTGTAAAAATCATAAAAACATTTCATTAATTTTATTTTATTTGCTTACGATGTCTCTGAGGTAGTATATTATGCTTGATAAGTAATTCAATTATATTATCAATTTCAAACTTTGTATAAATTCCGTAACTAATAATAAGTTAATTGTTATTAACATGGACATGATTAATTTGTCTCGTTAAGATAACTCAAAGTAATAAAAGATATTATGAACTTGTAATTATATATTTGTAATTACAATAGTCTAAAAGTTTTTTATAGTCATTGATCAATATATGTACAAATGTTTGAATTAATATTTTTAAACATCATTCAATATATTATTAAGCATCATTCAATATTTTTAATATCGAACATGACAATAATTTGTCTTTTTCAATTTACAAAAATTCGGAGGCATCGAATATTTCAACGTGCTATTTCTATAATTAACAAGTAACTTTTGAGACCAATAGGACAAAAATGTTATTAGTGTATTATTATTGTAAATACGAAGCTTTATT